CTGTTTGACAGGAAGATGAAGATGTTGGTGGTGTTTGGGATCCTCCTGCACGTTTCCCAGCATGCCCTGGCTGGGCTGGTTGAGGTGTATGAGGAGGCAGAGTCTGTCCTGATGCCCTGCCTCTATGAGGGTCGTTTCCCTGAGGAGCACCCGGAAATCAAATGGACTCGGATTGATCTTAAACCTCCCAAATCTGTCCACCTGAGACGAGCTGGAGGAGACAATTTTACAGACCAGGACCAGGATTACAGAGACCGGACATCAATGAGACCTGATGCTCTGGATGACAAAGTTCTGGGTCCTAGCAACTTCAGCCTGACCCTGGAGAAACCCAAACTCTCTGACTCTGGAGACTACACCTGCAGCATCGGAGACACAAGACAGGAGAAGACGGTGACAGTTCAGCTGAAGTTCAAAGTTCAGACTGCAGTGGTGAAGGTGAATGAAGGGGCGGAGTCTGTCCTCCTGCCCTGCACAACATCAGCCAACCTGCCTGACGACACCACAGTGGAGTGGACTCTTTCTAGACCTCAATTTATTTTTGTTCATGAGTTTCCAAACACAAATAAAAATCAAAATAACAAAGGTGACAAATACTGCTGGCGTGCTAACATGACCGAAGACCTGCTGAGAACTGGAGACCTCAGTTTGATCCTGAATTATCCTACACCCAGAGACAATGGAGACTACATCTGCACCATCTACATCAAAAGAGACCAGGGCGACTTCAGAGACCAGGACATCCTGAGACAGAAAGTAGTTCTCACAGTTGTCAAAGGGTTTCCAACCTGGGCCACAGCTCTCCTGCTCTCCCTGTTAGTAGCTCTTCTTGTTTCTGGAGGTGCTCTATATTATTTTCGGCACTATTTCATGTCAGTTTATCTGGTGGAGGTGGACTCAGGTGAGGAGGCTGTCCTGCTGCCCTGCAAAACCCCTGCCTGTCTGCGTAAATACACTAAAGTGGAGTGGAAGGATGGTGATAACAGGAAGGTCCATGTGTTTGAGAACGGCTTTCATCGATCTGAAAAACAGAACCAGTTCTACAGAAACAGAACAGAGATGAGGAAGAAACATCTGAGAACTGGAGACTTCAGTCTGACTCTGAAAAAACCCACAGACTGGGACACTGGGACCTTCACCTGCACCATCTACAGTG